CAGGACCCTTTGGTCCCCAGGCCAACGCTCTATCCACTGAGCCAAACCGGCTAAGGCCCCATCATCTTCACGGGAGAGGGAGTCAGTGGAAAGATTACACTTTCCCTTTCGGATCTGTCCACTACGTGTAGCGGTAAGAGCTATTTCTAGAAGAAAGGCCTTGATCCCACTGCCAAATTGTAGCTTCGTCAACTCATGCCAAGTGAGTTGTGTTCCAGGGACGGCGACTCATCCAGTTGGCCTCACCCTACACGGCCAGCGACTCAGGATCCAGCAGCTCGGGTGCTGACGTCAAACGGATGTGAGGATCCTACCAGATTGGAAACGTGAGCTTGCCCACAGATGTTCCAACCAGCTGACAAGTGAATCCTCAAATGCTCCCCGTCTCTGGTTTTAAAAGCCCCAAGTAATTCTTCATGGTCTCAGATTGCTGTGGACGGTCGCCCACTGGAGAAACTGGGCAGAAATGAAGGGGAGACTTGCTGAGGCGGGGGAGGGAAAAAGGCCCCGAGTAGGAAAAAGGACAAGAAGTTCCGCTGCCGAAAGAAATAGACGGAGATTCCGGACCGAGAAGCCACATTTTTAGGAAAGTGGGCTGTGCTGGTTTATTTTTAAAGCGGGAGGCCGTGAATGACACGCGCTGCATGCCGACCTCTCCCCTGGTTTATTTCCTCCACGCCCACTCGCCCTTTGCCCCACTTTCCTTAACTCTCTTTAAAAAGTAGTGCACTGCACATTTTCGTAAGATGTTGGCAATGCTGTTCGGTGTGAAGTGTCAGTAAAAATGCCATATTCAAAGTGTGAATGATAACTTTCCAGATGGGCTGTGACATTATTTTAGGTCAGTCTGCTGAAAATATCTCACATCAAATTCCCTCTCTGAATATAAATCACAATCTAAATAGTTCCCCAGCTGGCGTGACTCAGTGGTTGAGCATCGACCTATGAACCAGGAGGTCACGAGTTCGATTCCTGGTCAGGGCACATGCCTGGGTTGCGGGCTCCATCCCCAGTGGGGGGTGTGCAGGAGGCAGCCGATCCATGATTCTCTCTCATCATTGATGTTTCTCTCTCCCTCTCCCTTTCCCTTCCTCTCTGAAATCAATAATTATATTTTTAAAAAATCTGAATAGTTACCCTGGAATACATGTGTGTGTCTATGTGCAGCCCTGCCCGCCCAAGGTACCTGATTAGTATTAACTGCGAAACCAAAGCCAGAAGCCAACCCTCGTGCTCAGGCAGGGGGTCCCGTTCACCTGGTCTCATGACACCACATGTTTCAGACCCATAGGCACCGGTCAGAGGAGAGAATTGATCAGTGATAAAGAAATGGAACTAGGTAGTATGCTTGTCACGATTCGATAGTTAATATTTGCCACAACTTCTGAAGAGTTGTCTAAAGATTAAGACACTTTCTCATGGCTACAGTATTGAGCCCAAAAGTTTCTAGCTGCTTAAACCACATAGTCTGGCCCTGGCCGGTAGTTCAGTTGGTTAGAGCATCGTCCCAATACATCAAGGTTTCGGATTAGATCTCGGGTCAGGGCACATGCAAGAATCAACCAATCAGAGCATCTCGGGTCAGGGCACATGCAAGAATCAACCAATCAGTGCATCTCAGGTTAGGCACATGCAAGAATCAACAAATCAGTGCATCTCAGGTCAGGCACATGCAAGAATCAACCAATCAGAGCACCTCAGGTCAGGGCACATGCAAGAATCGACCAATCAGTGCATCTCAGGTCAGGGCACATACAAGAATCAACCAATCAGTGCATAAATAAGGGAAATAAATTGATGTTTCTCTCTCTCTCTCAAATCAAAAACAAAAACCCACAGAACCTGGCATGGGTGTCACCTTTAAAAAAAATTTTTTTTATTGATTTTAGAAGAGGAAGGGAGAGGGAGAGATAGAAACATCAATGAAGAGAGAGAATAATTGATTGGCTGCTTCCTGTGCACCCCCTACTGGGGATCAAGCCCACAGCCTGGGCATGTGCCCTGACCATGAATTGAACTCATGACCTCCTGGTCCATAGGTTGATGCTCAACCACTGAGCCACGCCGGCCGGGCGCCATCTTTGTTTTTAAAGGGTGTCTGAGACTGCGAGTCACTCTCTTGGGCCCAAATCCTGGCTCTCCTGTTGACTGGCTGTGTGGCCCTGGGCAGGCAAGTCACCTACCCGCTCAAGCCTCAGCTTTCTTGTTTCTGAAGTGAGGATAAGGGTACCTCCCTGACAAGAGAATGTGGAAACTCAACTATTTATATCCCGAACTCCAGGGACTGGCACAAGGGCTCAGGAAGATGAGCAGATAATAACCGTAACTAATAAATGCAGCAGGAGTCATAAAAGCAGGTCGAGGCCCCTGCATGATCTAGTCACGGCCCAAACATGATACAACGTCTACCTACCACCCGATTTTCCTTTTGCACCGAATTAAACCCAGCAGTGTAACTGAGAAGAAATGGCTAATCTTTAAAAGGGTTGTAAGTGTATTTTCAAAGTTAATCATAAGACGAGGGTCTGTCTACAGACAACCACTCCGGCTGGTGACACCATTTGCTACTGAAGTTTGCATGAGAGGGTCTGAAAGAATTTTGTAAAGTCCTGGACAGGATGTCCAGCTCCTTCCGCGAGCTGACAAGTGCTCAGCAGTGGAGCGCCTGCTCGTTATAAATAGCAAGCCAGTGTCCCTCACCAGATGATGCGATTGAATAAGTCACCACGTGCTGGATGGACACTTCTAGAAGGGTTTTAACTGAGCCACATTCCAATGTTCCTTTTAAGTCTGAACTAATATTTCTTTTCTAGCACTAACACGTTTTGTTTTAATCCTCACCTGAGGATATTTTCCCACTGATTTTTAGAGAGAGTAGAAGGGAGGGGGTGAGAGAGAAACATTGATGCGAGAGAGACACATCAATGGGTTGCCTCCTGCCGGTGCCCCAGTCAGGGCCAATGGATCAAACCTGCAACCCAGGTACATGCCCTTAACTGGGAATCACACCCATGACCCTTTGGTTAGCAGGCGGGTGCTCTAACCGTTGTACCACGCCAGCCAGGGCTACCAGGGCTTTCTTACAGGACCTGACAGGTACAGTACTTGGTAGCGAATGGCTGTTTTCCTGGCCAGGCGGCTTGGCTGGTTGCGCACTGAAGGGTCGCAGGTTTGATTCCTGGTCAGGGCACATACCCAGCTTAGGGTTTGGTCCCTGACTGGAGCACATACAGGCGGTAACCAATCAATGTTTCTCTCTCTCTCCCCCTCTCTAAAGTCAATAATTAAAAAAAGCATATCCTTGGGTGAAGATTTAAAAAAAAAGGCTGGGTTTGCCTACCACCTTCGGCACACACTTCAGGACATTTATGGTACTTGCTGCTCCCTGACCTCGGGCTCCAATGTCCAGCCCCGTGTGATGCTGAGGGTGTCACGACAATGAAGGTCTCTGGAGACTGGATTACGGCAGGAACAGAAAACCCGGCACAGGCAGGTATTGTGCCTTCTTAATGGCTGTAGCTTTTCTTCCCGTCACTCCATTGAAATCTTAATATGTGAAAATTAGTATCAATTCCCTTTATCAACAAAATGCTATCCTCTAGCACCTGCTTCATTGAAAGCAGGTGAAGAAACCCGTCACTCAATTCTCCACTAGAGGGCAGCGTCACGCGGACCTGTGGCCTCCCTCCCGACAGGGCGTCCTCTTCTGGGGAGGGAGGGACAAGTGGGCACATGTGAGCGCAGGAAGCAGAACAGGCAGAGCAGGCAGCTTCGGGGCAGGCCTTTCTCCTTTTAGAGCAAATCCAGTTTGCTGGTTTGAAAAGTCAGACTTTGCTTTCAAATTCTTGGGAATGGGTTGAAGCCAGGTCACTTCTCATCCAGCAAAAATGTACCGACCACTACAGAAATGTGGGGAACATAAGCCGGGGGAGGGGGGCTGGGCCCCTCCACCGAGAGCAGGAAATGCCGGTGGGGAAAGCCCACTGGAGGGTGGGTGGCTACCCAACGCCCTGTGGGGACTGCAGGCCCGAGGGGGTGGAGTGGAGGGCGGTGTCAGCTGGGGATGGAGCTTTGAAAGCAGAGAAGAGGGGGCGATTCCAGGCAGAGGATGAGAGCAAAGGCAGGGACGGGAAGTCAGTGGGTTGCAGGTCCAGCCACCAGACCAATGCAGGTGAGTGGAGGGAGGGCTTGCACGGGGTAAGATTGGAAAGCGAGGCCTAAAGGGAGCATGGGAACACCCCAGGCCCCCGAAGGGGGTGAAGGACGGGAAAGGACAGTGTGCAGAGTTGTCAGCGTGTGGGGAAGGCAGGGCTGGGGGCCAGCTCGGGGCTGCGAAAGCAGCGGTAAGAAGACACACCGGACACTGGAAGATGGAGAATATTCCTTTATATCACACGTCTACGGTTACAAAGAGCTGTTGTTCACATGATCTCATTACATCCCCGGACCAGTCAGTAAAGCTGAACACTTGTCACATTTCGAGGAACTGCTGCTCAGAATCAATGCTCTCACCTCTGGCCACGCTTCCCTGGCTGCCAGGTTTTCGGGGAGACTACCTTCCTCACCCCCGCCCCCATTCCTTCTCAGGAAAGGCCTTTTCTCCTATTTCCCCTTCAGTACAGATGCTCCGGGCCCCTCCCTTCTCCTGCTCTACCCTCGGATCAGCGGTCGCCCATCGGCGTACCACTGGTGACCCGTGAGGTCCGAAGGGTTGGCGACCGCTGCTCTAGATGACCGCACCACCACATGTAGACTGACAGCTACCAGCTCTACGCTGCAGCCCCAATCTTCTCCTTGAGACCTGACCCATATAC